ATATTATATTTTATATTTCTTATTCGGATCCTAAAAATTGGTTCTAACATTCTATGATTAACAAAACGGAAATTGTTTTTGTTAAAATATTCAAACACACACACAAGGGAATCAATAAAGTGAGGTTTTCCGGACCTTCGCCACCCCTCTTTACTTGATGCAAAGAATATAAAAATTTATATTTTATTGTCGACCGATTTTATAAATAACGGTAAAGATAATTAATTATTTTTCATCATATACAATCAGGACCATTTATCATTTACTATTACGTTTATGAGAAATATTTTAAAATAAATAATCCAAAACAAATATTAATATTTTATTTTTATTATTTATATGAATTAGTTTTAAGTATATATAGTCAATATTCAAACATAACTTAATAAAAAATTATTAAAATTTATATTTGATTATCAATATATTATATGAGTTACAGTAAAGAAAATCAATTCAACTTTTATTAAATACAATTAGGATCATTTAATTCAACATCATCCAATCACTATAATGGAATTACAATTTCAGTTAAATGGTAAAATTTTCAAGTCCTTTTTTTATAATATAATTTTTCCTCCCTTCTTATTTCATTCAGTTTTTTAAGAAATAAATTTACTTGTTTCTTTATAATTACAATAACACAGTCATCATTATCTCTTATTATATACCCTTAGTCCTTACAATAAGATTAAAAGAGAAATGAGTACAATACAAAACCGTATTGTTGTTTCATTAGAACCATTCTTTTATTGATTTCTGAAAAGATAACTCAAAGAGTAATAATGTGATTGCAGCATTCATATTTATAATGTAATATATAACGTTTTATGCTAATCAAGTCTCACTTTTATCAAACTCAAGAAACTTTAATAAATATCTCTATAGTTTTTATTTAGGTCATCTTTATTCCCAGATAATTGAAATAGGACTTCCGACTATAGTTTTTCCATTTGACCATTCTAAACGTCCAAAACCAACTTGCCTTCGTGTTGGCGGATTCGGAGTTGTAAATGTCACCTTGTATGATTTTTTCTCATTTTTGTTGAAACTCAACACGTTTGGCTCAACAGTGATATTCACAGATGGGATATCCAACGTAACCGATGCTTTGTATGTTCCTGCAATCCCCACATTGGTAAGAGTTCGCTCGTGAATAATGATTGCAATGGAGCTTCCTGATACTGGTTTAAACACCACGCCAAACGAAGGGTAATTTAAGCTTGTTACACTGTAGTGCTTCTGTGCATCACAGCTGAACTTTCTCCTTGCCACAGCTTCAATCCTGTCAGGTGTGTAGTTTAATGCACAGAGAAAGTTCAGGTAATCATCGGCTGTTAAATCGTAAACAAGTCCTGGATTAAGCGCGAGAATGGGATTCACATGTCCGGCACCGACGGCAAACGGTGTTGAAGGAGCATTTGTGGCACTGTCTAATAGTTTTTCACCATTGTTGTAAGACGCATAAGCTGTGGTTATAAGCGCAGATCGAATTGCAGCTGGGCTCCAATTTGGATAAACCGATTTAATCAAAGCTGCTATACCACTGGCGTGAGGACATGACATGGATGTTCCTGTGATTATGTTAAAATCCACACGCCTATCATCCTGGTCGAGGTTTGTGGGACCTGCATATTTCGTAAATGCGGCTAATATGTTTGTACCAGGAGCAATGAAATCAGGTTTTAATATTTCTGGTGTGACTGGGTTTGGACCTCGAGCACTATATGCAGAAACAACTGGCGACGGCTTAATTCCAACCTCGGTTCCCTGGAACACAAGTGTAGCTGTTGGATTTTGTGTCTGTTGCAGGTACATCTTAATGGCTTTGGAGGCTTTGAAACCCACTGCAGCTGTTGGCAAAAGATGGGCATCCGCCACCAATTCCTCTCCATCAATTTCTGCATTGGCTAACACCATGCCCAGACCACCAGCAGATTTCACCGCAAGCCCTTTCTCCACCCTTGAAATATTTCCACGATCACAGAACACAATTTTTCCCTTAACCTTTTCTGGATCCAAGCTATCTGTCAGACACAACTCTGCACCTACATTTACGCTTGCATTTCCAGCGTATATGAGTGGCACAAAAGTACGAGGCAGAAAACTACCATCACTGATTGAAACTCCAGAATAGTTCTTTCCATTCCCGAGTTTGACATATACCGGAAAATCACGATCTATTGTGCCAGCTCCCACAGTGATTATCCAAGGTGCTACATTTTGGAGAGTGGAGTTGGTAGGACCATCGTTTCCTGCAGCACATGCAACTACAATCCCTTTCTCCATTGCTGCAAAGGCTCCAATGGCAAGGTTTTCTTCATCATAATCAATTGCTTGTCCTCCGAGTGATGCCGAAATGACATTGACATTATCGGAGATGGCTGCGTCCATTGCCGCCAGTATATCAGAAGCAACACAATTATCTTGCCAACAAACCTTATAGATAGCAACTCTAGCTTGTGGGACCATTCCACGCGCGACCCCAGAAGCATAACCAAATAAGTTCGCACCTTTCACTGTAGAACCTGCAGCTGTGCTTGCAGTGTGGGTGCCATGGCCGTCAGAGTCTCGTGGTGATCTAAACTGCGTTGCATTAAGGGGACCCACTGAGGCCTCGAAGCCTTTCAAGAAGAACCTAGCTCCTATTAGTTTTTTATTGCAATTGGCGGCACTGAAATTCTGACCCGATTCACATTTTCCTTTCCAACTCATAGGAACGGGTCCCAGTTCGACATCGTCAAAACTCTTGCTTTCAGGCCAAACACCAGTGTCGAGGAGTCCAATAATGATGTCACTCGTCGCGTTTGACTCAGGAAACATGTCTTTGATTTTATCAAGCCCAAGAAACTGCGGTGTTCGAGTTGTGAGTGGCTTGTATATTTTCTCCGGCAGCACCTTCAGAATCCCGATTTCACTC